TTTTAATAGGGTTTGTTCTACCTTGAAGGGTTTTTTTTTTTTTTTTTTTTATGCATCCTCCTGCTGCTTCATCCTGAAAGCTGTAACATCTTTCTTTTCCTGTGTCACAGCCCCGTGTCCTGCCAAACCCCTGAGCTCTCTGTGTGGGGAACCTAAAGCTAAGAGAGATTTATTCAATAAACTCTATTGAACTTTATTGGAAATATTGGTGACTTAACCCTGAAAATGCTAGCTGCTGATCATCATGCCGATCCCCTGGTCTTTGATACTTTGAGTTGCTTACCTAGAACAATCATGCAACAGGTGAAGTCAGAGCACCACTTTCACGCTTGTTGCTGGTCATATTGAAAAGATAAAATCAGCAATACATGCGGAGAACTAGCATTTTCAAAGAGTTCAGCAATAGCAGCCTACATGTATCTCTTGGCAACAAATTTCCTTTAATCAGCAGAACAATTTTGGGGTTTTGGAGATATGACATTGTGCCTGACAATCTGTTATTGGTCGCTGTGCTATGCTATGTTATTAAGCTGTATACACACATTACAATCTGATTGTACAATCTGCTTTAGCTTTTCCAATACTATGAGGCCGTTGTACAAATCTTCTGCACAGCGTAGGAGCATAGAAATTCCTATGTTCCTGGGCTCCATCTAGTGGCAGTAATGCCGTGTGAATGGCATTCGCCCAGCTTTACGCTGGGAGGAAGATTTACACATCTGCCCCATAACTAACTGCATCAAAATAGAGTATTGTTATACCTAATCTCATGGCCTGTTGTGGAGGAGGAGTGCTCACACAATAGTCCTAATGTCTTTTACATTTTCTGCATGTGCCCAGCTACTGACATGAAGACTTTGTATACAGTCTTCTTTACAGACAGGTCAGTATAGATTCAGATATCAGAGTTTGAGAAATTTAAGTTGCAGAAAGAAATGAAAGGGACCATATCTATTGAATAAGCCATACTCTGCTTTATTTCCCAGAATCCTTCACTGCTGACCACAAGCCTCTCCTAGGAGAGTCTCCTGAGGTGCGCGGCTTCTTCCTGGGCTGCGGATTTAACAGTGCAGGTAAGTGATATTAAGGAGACACTAGATTTAAATCTGTGGCAGTTTTAGCCCCATGCAGTCTTGCTGGCCTGCAGCTCCCACACAATGTCAGTGGGTCTATATGTTGCCACACCCAATAACTGCTGACCCAGAATGCTTTTTCCATGCTACACCAAGTACCGCAAACAGCTCGATGTTCGGGAACCTAAACATATCCATCAAGTCCCTGTCCTGGACTTAGAGTACAGCACATGAGTCAGCAAATGGGTGATTCCGTCAGAGTCTAATTACACAGGATTTTTTGGAGCATGACCGTGACACTTTAACTGCCTCCCACCAAACTGCCATTTTCATAGTGGAAACGTTTTAGGACCTCTGCCAGGTTTTAATTGATATTTGTGTGCCCGTTAGGGAGGGTTCCAGGTAAGTGACGCAGAAAGTATTGATGCCAGAGACCACTAGCATTTTCAAATAGAGGTCAACTATGGCGGCCTACATTTTACCTTAGTCTGGGTTTCCTTTAGGAATTTTAGGGTTCACTATAGAATTCCATACATCTATACGGTCACTGAACTCCACAGAAAATGTCTTATATACAGTACTATAAATGCCCTTCAAGGTTTTTCATTTGGAATTGCGCTCAAGACGCCATTGCTGCAAGGCCAAAGTTCCAATCATTGAGTAATTGCATTTCCCAGCTACACCTGGTATCAGCACTCGCAGCTTCCCCTGCACCGAGCTTCATCCACAGCATTACCTACAGCTACCGGGTATAAAATGGCAGGGCAAAGTTAAAAACTGAAACAAAGCATCGGATTGGTTGATATAAACATTGTGCGCATTCTGCACAATTCTGCTTTCCGTATTTACCTCTAATTGTGCCCTTGAATCAGTTTCTGGGAAATCGTGTTAGGATGGATCTTCTATGACAGCTCCTGTGGTCTCCGCAGGTATGATGCTGGGCGGTGGATGTGGGAAGGAGCTGGCGCACTGGATAATTCATGGCCGCCCAGAGAAGGATATGTACGGCTACGACATCAGGTGGGACATGTCATCTCCGCAGGGCTCATGCATCTTACAGTAGAACAATTGTGCAGCAATGCATAACGCCTAAAGAAATATCTCCACTGTTCTTAAAGTATACTTAGCATTAGACATAGGTTTTTTTATGTTAAATCCATGCATGCTAGTAATGTGTAAGTGTAACACTTGCAGGCATTTATCACCTCTCGCAGCGATCACAGTATTCAGCCTGACAATGCCTGCATCTGCTGTTTTCTTGTGTCATCTTTGTCCTGACATCATCTAGTGTGACTATCTATTTCCTGGACTGGTTCAAAGGTGACACAATCCTGTAAATCCTGGTGCCTGTGTAGTTCTTGGCTGTGCTCACTGATGTCTGACACAGTTCAGCCTCCTACTGCTACAGCCTCCTACTTTCTGACTTGCTGCAAAATTACCATGTTGCAGCCTGATCATTGGGGAAAAGGAGACTGAGGAAATTATGTTTTCTATCTACAGCAGATAGATGCCCTCTTCTCATCCTTGTCAAAGTCAATGGAGCTCAAGAATTGCTGTTTATGATAAAAATGAAAATTTTTAAATGTATAATAGGGATGCACCGATACCGGTTTCTCGGTATCGAGTACTGATATTTATATTTTGGTACTCGCTGATACCAAGTACCGGTACTTAAGGTAGCCTAGAGCCGGCTTCCCGGGCAATCAGGAAGCCGGGCAGTGTGTCATTACCCACTGCCCGGCTTCCTGATTGGCCGGGAAGCCAGCTCCATGCTGATTGCTGGGAAGCCGACTTCCCAGGCAATCGGCATCGGGCCGGCCAATCAGCATGGAGCTGGCTTCCCGGCCAATCATGAAGCTGGGCCACAAGTCATTTCCAGCAGCCTGGCTTCCTGATTGACCATGTACCCTCACGGCACTGCCGATCAGAGGAAATCTCCCTCTGACCAGAAGTTCTGGTATCGGGATAAGTATGGGAGCACTCGCCCAAATACTTGGTATCGGCACCGATACCGATACTAGTATCGGTGCATCCCTATAAAATAATATATTGTAACGTGTTCGCAATTTATTTATGCAGACCTGTGAAATAACTTCTAATATGACAGAGAGGTCCATCAAACAAAATTTAGCTCAACACGCAGAAAAGAAAATATGCAATTTGATGTTTCTGAAGATGACCTTTCTGTGTTATTTTTTGACAGCCCCCAAAATCTTAATTTCTTTACTCTCAAAATAAGCAGTAAATAAGATTCCACAGAACAAATCTGCTTCTGTTGTTGGCTCACTGTCTCTTCAAGAACAGAGAATGAGTTCAAATTACATGCGGTCTGTGGAATATGGCATCCGCTGCAATGTCATTAGTGCACGTTAATGCAAAGGGCTGCCACGAGAGTGCAATGTTATTAAAACACGGCACCGATAATCTGATCATCATAAAGGCAGAACCATTCCCGTAACATTGGCATGACTTTCTCAATATAGACAGAACAGAAACAATCAATAATCTAATAAAGTGTGCTTTCAGTGTCTATAGCTGACAAAACCTCACCATCATATTAGAAACCTGCCACCCAAACATACTGTTTTGGTGTCCCATGCCTCAAGCTGCCAGATAGCAAATGGTTGTGGCCAGTCCTCTTCCTAATGCATGTTATAACCGAGAAGGTCTGACCAAGGCAGGAAGTAACCTTCAGCTTTTCATGTGCTTTGTGGTCTTTCCCTGTTCTGCTTCTGTGTAAGTTGTGCTGTTCACTTGGAAGAGGTGGGCAAAGAAATATGAAATTGTGTCTGGCAGATTGAGGCATGTGTCCTTTTAGGTCTCACTCTCTATTTAACATTTTGCTGGTCGCAATTGTGAAATATTGTCACACAGATCCCTGTGTAGTGTACAAACCAAAATAGCTATGTATCTTATTTGTGTATCACTCAGCAGTAGATCCTCAAATCATCTCTGAATTGGTGCTGACACTGTCCTTCCTTCTGGAGAGTGGCTACTTGTGTTTCCCATGGTCCCTGTGTGTTGTAATTTAGCCACCGCCCCAAGCTCGCTCCTGTGATAGACTACAATCTCACATTTAGTTTACTCATTTGAATTGAGATTTTAGTCCATCCCAGGAGCATGCTTGGAGCGGTGGCTACTGTGCAACACAGTCAAGCAAAACAAATGGCAAACGCACTCATCAATTTCTTACCAGCTTTACAGCAAGGTGCACATGGAAGGGCCTTATACAGTAAAACAGCAAAAAGTTTTCCCAGCACACTCACCAGCCAGCATGCAAAAAAACTTGTCTCACCGCTAAGGTTAAAACCAGAGGTTTAGTTACCGGTCTTCTGCAGAAAATGTAAAAGCCGCACAGCCACGTCAAGGCACTTCAAAATAGTGCAGTCCTAACGCTAAACTATGAGAGTCTCCATCTTAGAGCACATATGGCAAAAGATCAGATCGGGTGCAGGTTTGTCAGGAGGAAGCCCAACCTCCCTTAAAGACACAGGGATGCACAAGAGATCCCGCACATCACAACGGCAGCTAACTGGTAACAAATTGATGAGTGGGTTTGCCATTTGTTTTGCTTGACTGATTTGGTGCAGTGATGCATGGGGGGTCTCAGCTGCCGTTGTGATGTGCGGGATCCCTTGTGCGTCTCTGTGCCTTTAAGGGAGGTTGGGCTTCTTCCTGACAAACCTGCACCCAATTTGATTTTTTTTGCCATATGTGCTCCAAGATGGAGACTCTCCTAGTTTAGAGTTAGGACCGCACTATTTAGAGGTGCCTTGACGTGGCTGTGCGGCTTTCATATTTTCTGCAGAAGACGTGTAACTAAACCTCTGTTTTAACCTTGGTGGTGAGACAAGTGTTTTTGCATGCTGGCTGGTGAGTGTGCTGGGAAAACTTTTTGCTGTTTTACTTTGCAACACACACACAGGGACCGTGGGGAACAAAAGTAGCCACCCTCCGGAGGGAAGGACAGTGTCAGCACCAATTTAGAGATTATTTGAAGATCTACAGCTGAGTGATGCACAAATAAGCTACATTGTTATTAATGGTTAAGGTACTTGAATGCATCTTTAAGATTTATCTCCTGAGACCCATGTCGTACTGCAATAGAACGCTTGGTAGTTTGAGTGTGGGCTGCTGTGCTGTGATGGAGCTCCATCCATATGTGCAATGCTTGTGTAGCTCACATGTGCACCTCTAGACATGCCGGGAGCCAGAATGTGATGTCACTCCGGTCCAGGCACCTCTACAGGACATTCGAGGGAGCTATAAGGAGTGCACGTATAGAGTGAGCTCCTTCGCAGCGATATCTCCAGCCGACCCCACCTCAAGTCAACACTCGGTGCTGGGCAGCATATTTTGAATGGCTGCTCGGTGCGCTAGGGGGAGGCTGAGGAGCCTCTCACCTAGAAAAGGGGAAAGCATGCGGCGACCCACTGAATACGGGGTCGCGACCCACTTTTGGGTCACGACCCACCAGTTGAGAACCAAGGCTTTAGAGTGTACTGGCACTTTGGAAGCTTCAAGTAAAGTTTAGCCAAGGGAAGCATGCGGACTACTATTGCTGACCTCTGAAAATGCTATTCACCTGTCTTTATGCTGATCCTGTGGCTTTATTGCTTTTAGTCACTGACCAAGAACAAGTATGCAAATCAGGAAGGTCAGGGAAATGTCAGTAGTTATCAAATGTAGAGGTTTCCTTTCACTTTTTTTGTTTTTTACATAATACTTTAAAACTCAGAAAAGTTGCATTGAGTTATGGATAATAATTGCAGCTTCATGTCCGTTAATTACCCTGGAAATCACCCTTGTCACTCGCTGCGTACATTTGCCCCTAATCTCTTCTTTATTGTGCATCTGCAGACACACTTGATTATCGCCCATTCTCAAGTGCCTGGACCGTGCCAGGCGATAATCACAATGTGTAGTAGAACTAGTCATTAAATGTATTTCTGCCCCAAAGCAGCGCTGTCTAATTATGCCACGGGCTAATGATGGGGGTGAAAGAATGAAACGTGGAAGGTGTAGTTGCTGGATGGATGTCCTTTCCCTTCAATGGCAATTTTCACTTCTACGCAATGCAAGACAATGCTCAGGAATTTCGGTCCTGGCTAGAATTCTGGAGATGTGAAAGGTGGGGTCATTGGTGACTCCCAGAATGCATTGTGCACCCCTGAATGCCATTGTTTGGTCTTTGGAAGTCAACAAAAGCTAGTCATAAATAATGATAATTACCACTAATGATACTCTGTAGGAGAGCGCAGTATACTATATTGTACAGCCTGAGACCACAGACAAAAGATTCACAAACCAATTTACAATGGATCACATAGAGAGGTTGATTTTTTTTATGGGTATATACCGTGTTTCCCCGAAAATAAGACACTGTCTTATATTTTTTTTGGCTCAAAAAAACACACTAGGTCTTATTTTCGGGGTAGGTCTTATTTTTGTTTTTAATGTATAACAATCCAAAGTTAATGCAAATCCAAATTGAATAATCCAAAATGGCAAAGTTAAGAATAGGGTGATCAGGGCAATAAGGGGTGCCCTACCTTTCCAAGAGCAATTTGGTAATAAGAAAAAGCGAAGCTTACTTTCACTATAGATTCCTCACAGGCAGAGTGCATTTGGTATCACTCCGCCTGTTGCAGGAGCCGTGGGTATAGAGGAAACATCGGCTTATGCGGGTGTGCTCCCTGCGCTGCCGCCTCGCTTCCTCTAGCGCTGGCTTCATTGGCACTGCTGATTCTCTCCTGCAGCTATTCAGTTCCCCCTCAGGCCTTAGCGGCCATGGGAATGGTCACAACTAGGTCTTATTTTCGGAGTAGGTCTTATATTTTAGCAATTCCCAAAAATGGTACTAGGTCTTAATTTCGGGGTAGGTCTTATTTTCGGGGAAACAGGGTATAAAAGAACAATTTGGAGAAATATATGAAAATGCCATTTGGTTCACTTATGTAATTCTTTGAAAATCATGACATCACTTTATTTCAGATCAGCTGCGGAAATATATGAAATGTGTCTACAGAAGGTGCTTCCATACACCTTCTAAAATCAGGAATGCACTGGCATTACCTGGATGTACTTGAATGGGCCATACGTTAGGGTGGGCATTGTCAATGAACACTGGCCAAAATTAACATTTTTGTAAAAGTCCACTTTTATGTGGCAGGTGTATGAAACAATGCTTTCTTCTATCTTTATGTGCTTCAGGAGATTCCACCACTCGTTGACCAATCACAACCGCTGGATGCGTGAACGCAGCCATGAGTCCTACGCTAAAAACTACTCTGTAGTTTTTCCATATGATGAGCCTGTGGCTGGAAGAAATATGAGAAAAGATCCTCTGCATGAGGTAAGGAGGTGAAAGTAAACCAAGAATATAAATTGGTTGAAAGATGTTGGTCCTTTACTCGTAAAATAATCCAAGGAATGTCCTGCTGCATAGATAATAAATGGTTATTAAAGGGTCAGTCCACCTAAAACTCAAATTTCAGTGTGGTAGATGAAACGTTAAAGTAAATGTCCTGCCAAAACTGTTTTTTTTGTTTAGTTTTAGTTTTGGAAAGAGCGGGGAAGGATTAGAGCCACTGTCATGTTTTACCATATTCCGGTTCTTTGTTAGAGAGATGTACTGCCCTAGAACAGTTTCACTAGACAGGAAACCATTGTATGGTGAAACCATTGTCATCTTACATTTTAGTGGGAGAAAATCTCTCTAATGGACCCCACATAGCAGGGAAACCTAACATTTGCTCTAACACATTCCCTCTACCCAAAACTAAAAAAAAAAAAAATTCTGAAAGGTTGGGACCTGTTCATATTGTTGCATTGTGGTTACTGCATTGCACATATCCTAGGGGGGTGAGTTGTCATTCATTTTGATGGGAAGGTCTAAACCGGACACTGTCGCTGCAGAGGAACTACAAGGCTTGTCAAGCCCTAATTCCTGAGTATTACGCTGGTCTTTTGGTAACTCTAGGTCTATTGGTCTACTTCTAAACGTAAAAAATGTAATTATCCCAAACCATCATAGTTCTCATTTATGATAACCAAATCCAACCAATTATCATATTTACCTGTGTTCCTTACAGTGAGAAAGCAGCTAATGTGAAGTCTGACACCCGGAGAAATGTTGTCTGTGTCTACCCCTTCCTTTATATCAGACTGAATGACTGTTTAGTTTACACAGACTGATCATGGGAAGGTCCTGTTGTATTATAAAAGCTGGGATTTTGTTTTTTGAGAACTGCTGAGCTGTGACATGATGTGTAGGATGATTGGTTGGTTGTTGGAGATATGGACATTCCTGAACATGAAATGATTTTGACAGAAAAATGACATAGATCCTAAAGACTTATCTTGGGTGTGGGTATCTGTTTACTGAGTTGCATGACAATTAGATATTCTAATAAAGCCACTAGGTGTTTTTTTAAATCACTCATTGATCGTAAAATGGTCTTATGCAAGTTGTATATAGAGTCAAAATAGCCGCTGTTTGCAGGGCCGATTTTTAAAGCTCTGGTAGGGCTTGGGCAAAAAAATAATAATAGTGGGGGCCCCTTCCTCCTCACTCCCTCTCCCTTACCTCCCACCTAAATATGTCACACAACATGAACAATATAATATAACAGAGATTTGAATTTGTACACCAAATGCACCTCCTGCCCACAATGTGTTCAACCGTGTTGGTTATGTGTTCAGATGAAGCACTGAGATCTTGAGGAATGCTTAAATAAGTTTTACTTGCTTAGCAGGACATTACATGTATGTATGCAGGAATACAGCATAGTAGAGAGGAAAACATACTGAAGGGAATTTATCAAAACTGAAGCAGATAAAATCTTGAGCAGCTGTGCATGGCAACCAATCAGCAGCTCTCTTTCATTTCTGAAATCTTAACTGATCAAACTGAAGAGGGAAGCTGATTGGTTACCATGCACAGCTGCTCCAGATTTTGTCTGCTCCAGTTTTAAGAAATCCCCCCCCTGTATATACAGATAGAACTTCCTGTATATATATCATAGGCACACATGCACACAAAGACTAGCATAGACCAGCATTGCACCACAGCCCCATCTAGTGCTCAAAATACATAACGGTACATTAGCATCTCAGTAATACAGTTAGTGCATATTAGCATATGTTCTTGCACTGAGCTGGCTGGCAGGAGGCAGAGGCACAAGTAAACAACAGTTCCTTGTGGCCACAAATGAAAAGATGTGCGTGGCCACGGAACAAAGGAAAAGTTTCCCCTCTTTATGTGTGCCCTGGACAGTTGGCCCTGGGCAAATGCCCACTGAATAAAGCGGCCCTGGCTGTTTGGAGGTGGCAGCTGTCAGCCCCCCTGATACAAAGAACAGGATAAAGCTGTCAAAAGTAACAGCCAGCCCTGCAGATTACACTTGGAGAGTGAGCATGGGGGAACCATGGCCCCAGCTGGTACTTCTTTGCGCTTAGGTGCCCATGGCAGATGTCTTTCCTCCTTCTGGGTTAACCCTGCCTAGCCTTTAGTCATTGCATTCTGTATCTTAGTATCATTCCAAGTAATACACGCCTGGCCTTTAGTAATTGTATTCTATATCTTAGTATCATTCTAAGTAATACCCTGTGTAATGTGATCCCTACAGGAGCTGCTGAATCAGGGCTGCATTTTCCAGGAGCGCCATGGCTGGGAAAGGCCAGGATGGTTTTACAGGAAGGGGTCAGCTGCGGTAGGTAAACTGCCCTTGTGGGTTTGTTTGAAAAGGCACTTTATAGATTGTAAGCTCTCTCTGTATAATAATATAGAGAAATGAGGTGCAAACTAACGTGATGGTTGTACTTGAACAGGAAGATCATTTTGGACCTTTTCTGGTAATAATCGCCTAGTGCACTGGCATCTGCTATCTTTTAATACTGACATGCTTGGAGACTGAATTCCAGGATAGAAGATGCAATTGTAGCAGAGCTACATTGATCTGTGAATATGCTTCATATACATTGATTCTATTGTTCCTATACAAGGTTTGGTCTATAGCAAGGGTAGGACCAAACAGCTGGAGTGCCCAGGCAACCTGGGCACTCCAGCTGTGGTGAAACTGCAAATCCCAGAGGCCTCTGTTTCTAGGAGTCATGCATTTGGCAGTCAGTGTCCTGCAATGCATCATGGAACTTGTAGTTCCACAACAGCTGGAGTGCCAAGGTTGCTGAGCCCTGGTCTATAGCATCAGCGTCAATTGCCAAACCTGGAAATTGTAACTGTTAGCGTTGGCCATATCTGTCTTTGATGCTTCAGCTGTGTAGCTGCAGATGGCCATTCAAACAGCTCAATCTTCACCTGTACCAACAATCAGACTGTACTGTGACATTTCTGATCTGCACTAGAAACATGGAAGAGGGAGTTAAATATTTAAAATATATATTTTTTTGACCATAAAAAAAAAGTAAAATAATTTTCCAAAATTGTTTTTCATTTGTTTCTCTTTTTTTTTGTATACTGCTCGCTACTTCAGAAGTACCGAGCAGAATAGCCAAGCCGAATGCTGCTCGATGGCATTCGGCTATTCACTTACTGCCGTTAGGCCCCTATGAGAATAGGGGCGAACGGTAGCTAGTGAGCTGCCGGAGCTTTGGCTCAGCTGATCCAGATGTTGGATCGGCTGAGTCGAAGTCCTTCTGCACTTTGGCTCAGCCGACTGACCGAAGGCAGCCGATGTACATCTGATTTTAGCCGTTGTACAGCTGATTTTAGCCGTTGTACGTCTGAAATCAGCCGTACAAAGCTGAAGGGAATAGCCAAACAGCGTTCGGCTCACCTCACTTCGGCTCGGTTATTCACTCGGCTGCCTATGGCAGCTAAGTGAATAACCCTGATTAGTCTTTATTGTAATATGCAAATGAGCAGATATCCTTAACCAGACATAACTTGGTGTCCACTCGACTATGTCTGGGTCCAGCCCTACCTCTTAACCATCATGACTACATGGAGCACAGGAAGGAAAGCTCCTAATGGTTCATGGGGGCAGAGACTTTTTTTGTTCAAATTCAGACCTGTTGCATGCTGAGGAAGGGAAAGGCCAACACACACACATTTGCAGTTTGAATTCTTCTAAATGTGTATGACTATCAGATGACTATCAGATGTGTATCTCTATCATAAACGATCAGTTTTTTATTCCCAAATTACCATATTATTCTATAGTAATGTAGTAATTGTATAAGCAGCAAGTGCTTTATGTTCTTTAAGTCATCCTTTATTTTCCTTTCTCTGCAGGTTCGAGACTATGATTATTATGGAGCATACGGTGTTCAGCCACACAAGGATTACACATACAGCAAACTCCTAGAGGAAGAGTATACGTTTGACTTTCCCCCGCACCATGATGTGGTAGGAAGAAACGAGTCTATGAAAAAAAATGCGCTCACAGATAATACATTTTACTTTCTCTCCAACCATGTACCTAACTCTTGAATGTAACTTTTAACCTAAACTGATCTGCTAACACTGCCCCTGCACCTCAGGCATAATTTACATTAGGGTGATACTAACAGAGAAATTGCCCTTAGGATGTTTACATAGTACCAAACTGTCAACACCAAGAAACCTGTGCTAAAAATAAAATGAAGCAGTATTGATCCAAGACAGGTACCCTTTCCTTGAGACGCAATAGCACGTATTTGTAAGTGTTTTTTGTAACTCTTTAAGGTTTCCAAGTGACCAGCTGGATCCGGTGTATTCTTGCTGCTGCGCATTCCTTGCTGGCACTGTCTTCATTATCCCTAAAAATAGCTTTTTTCTAATTATTCCATTCCTTGTTAATTTAAAGCAGCAACTTTCCCTCCCCACAGCTCGCAGATTGCCAAACATTTGGCCTGCTATTTATTCCTGCGTGACAGTTTTGTTTTGACATGGGAAAATTAAACCTCTGAAAATTGTCACTAATTGTCGCCACATTAATAGAGTTCTGTGAGCTGCAGAAAATCATTCAGCCTGCAGATGAAAAGGATCGGTAAAGCTGAAATGACAGTGACATTATGTGGAGGGCTGTTGATAACATTGAATGTAAAATTTCTCACCAACAGGAAAGGAGAAATTTGACTTGTATGTCATTTTTCCTGTTTAGCACATTTTGTTTTTACATTTGCTGCCATTTTTAGCTTAAAGGAGGATTATAGGACACCTATAATGAGTAAAGTATGAACCATTGATGTCACCCTTCTGAAAATGCTATTTGGCTATGCCATGCTAGTCAGCCTTACATACTTTGAATGATAAACCAGGAGCTGAGGCTAAAGAAGGCTTAACAGATGTCATTCAGTGGGATTACTAGATGGGAGCTACACTGGAATTGGGGGCCCAGCACTGTCTGGCTATAATGTATGCAGGTGGATTTTGCCTTTGACAAATACAGTTGGATAAATGGAATGTTTGTATAGTTTTGAGAACCTCTAAAAGAATGCTTTAAAAGTAAATAGGATTCCGTAACAATAGAAGAATTGCCTTTGAGATAGGGAGTAGAGATGTGAGGAAACCTAATTGTACCCCTATTACTGTAATACAGCCAGGGCCGGATTTACTCTCCTTGCCGCCCCAAGGCCAGGTTCTGCTATGCGCCCCCTTTCCCGCATCCCCCCCATCAACGGAGAATGGCAACCGGATGGCGGGGCGGCATGCTTAGTTTTATTTATTTTTATTGTTTCTTTCTTTATCACTTTTTTATTTTTATTTATTTTTTTACTTTTTTACATTTTTAGCTTATCGTTTACTTTTTTACATTTATCTTATTATTGTTTGTTTATTGATTTGTTATAGTTATTTTCTTATTTTTTAATATATTTTTTTCTTATTATGTTTTACTTTTTTAATCACCTTTTTTATTTATTTTTATTTAATTATTATTTCTTCTTCTTTTTTTTCCACTTAACTTTATTGCTATCACACAGGAGCTAGCTAACAAGCCCCTGTGTGATAGCATTTGGAGGTGACAGGTTCTCTTTATTGACCCTGTCACCTCCAATACAGGAGTTCTAGCACAGCACTGTGCTGGAACTCCTGCGACAGGTGAGACGGGAAGAGCACAGCTCTCCCCTCTCACTGTCTACAGTCTACACGGAGCGCCAGGGTTACTTTTAACCCTGACGCTCTGCTCCCCACATCGACGGCAAGTGAGGAGAGACTCGGCGGCTGGAACCAGAGGAGAGAGGTAAGTGAGGGGGGAGGACGAACAGGCTGCACAGATTTTACAAGTGATTGCGGCGACATCCATGCTGCCATCCTGTGCTGCAATTAACCGTGGAAGCTTTGATAGGTTAACAATACGTAGGTTCCATTGTGTGCCGCATGCTTTGACAAGATCCTGAGATCAGGAACAATGCACGTTAGCGGTAGAAATTCCACATGACAGCCTGACAATCCCTCAGCTATGTGGATTAATTTCTGTTATAATTAGCAAGCTGCAGGGTGTTCACCTACGTTACATTTGAAGTAAAATAAAGGCATATTTATTAAGGTAACAGAATGGCAATGATGTGCAACGCAGAGTAGCCTATTGGAGCAATCGCTTTCATATTTTACCACTTTATTCTGGTCAGAGCACATAAAGTCACCTGCTGATTGGTTTCTAATGGTTACTGCGTTCTCTTCCAATGAAAGAGGACCTAGCATCAGTTATATTTTCTCACATTTAGTGCATGCATGCTAAGTAATGGGCAAATGTATCTCTTCCAGGTATTTATTACCTCCCACAGAGATCACGGTATGCCCCCTGGCAAGGACTTCATCTGCTTTCCTCATCAGTAGTATGGTGCCATATCTGTTCAGATATTATCCAGGGTCAGCATCTACTTACTGGACAGAGATGCTGGCTCAACGATGACACAGCCATGTACTGTAAATCCTGGTGCCTGTACAGATCTTGGCTGTGTTCATATATTTCTGACACAGGTGAGCCCCTGTTGCAGCCTCTCACCTTGTTAGAGTGTACAGGGTGATCACAGGATTAGAGGATACTGAGGAAATGCAAAAACAATACAAAAATATCCTAGAACGCTAGCTAGCCAAGCTAAAACAGAGGTTTTAGTTGCATGCATTTGCAAATACAAATACTTGTAAAGCCGCACTGCAATGTCAAGGAATCTCTGCTGAGTGTGGTTCTACTCAATTATCTACATTCCCAAATATAGGACATATATAGCAATGAATAAATTGAGAACAAGCTTACCAGGATTACCCCTCCTCCATAATGGTACAGCAACACACCAGAAGCCCTATATCCCTCAAGGCAGCTGAAGAGCAGCACCATAGTGTCTTACCTGCAACAAATCTAACTTTGCAACAATGGCAGACTCTAAGATCATTTTCAGCCCCCCGAATCCTGATCCCTCCCCCACAATGTATGCCGTTTTTTTTTTGGGGGGGGGTTACTTACAATTTTTTATTGGGGTCAAATTGACAATAATTTATGACAGCAGTGACCCAAAACATTGTGGCAGAATGGAATTTTTTTTTCCAACAAGCAAAATTCTTAGGCTCCTTTTCATTTGGGCGGTCCGATCAGGTCCACCTGTCAGTTTTTTAAGAAGATCTGATCGGAAGGCCAATATTAGTCTCTGAGTAGCTGGATCTAAATGAACGTGCCTCCTTTTACGTTGAGTTATTCTGGACTCCAGCCAGGTCCGGAAAACCAAACGGAACAGAGTTCTGTTTTGGCGGACCTGATCTTGACAGCTGGGGGTGATCTGATGTAAACGGACACTTGTCCGCCTACATCCGACTCCTCATAGTCCTAACATGGGTCCACTAAATTCAGTTTTTTTTTCATCCATCCGTTCTGAACTGCTCTGAATAGCAAGGGATCCATGCAAGTATCCCCTGCTGATCGCAACTGATAGATGCCCATGTGAACGGGGCCTTACAGTAAATGTGTTTTTTGTTAGAGAAACTTCATTTATTTCCAAAATCAAATCTTAAAACCGAATTTTCGAATATTCGTCAAGTCTCTCATGGCATTATCAAATGTTCTGATGAGATTTTTTTTGTATGAATGTTCCTATGAAAATTTACCAGCATATGGCCAGCTTACAGGAAGCTTCCTCTAAATCATGGGAGCTAAACTGGTTTATTGATTCAGATCTGCTCAGCCATACTATGCTGAACAGGAGGAATGACCATATGCAGCAACCAAAGTTTAAATTTGTGCATGTGTACCTGCAGATAGAAGCACAGCAATATCATAGGCTATAACTAATTTTTCAGTTATTGACTGCATTCAGTACACATGAATGCATGCTCACACAGCAGTGTATTCAATCCGGAGAGATGATGTTATCAGATTAGAAACAACACTCTTCAGTTGCAAGAGGTCATTCTTGGCAGTCATCCAATTATTATATACATGGCTGCTTGGCGTTAATCAAAAGTAGTTCATCCGCAATTGGTTATGTATCTTATAATATCACTACCCAGAGACAAGATTTATTTATGTATATTGCACTAACTAACAGTGCTCTCTACATATTGTACATTCACATCAGTCCCTGCCTTCAAGTAGCTTACGATCTAAGGTCCCTATCTCATATGCATATACACATACTAGTATACAGTACCTACCAGTATGTCTTTAGATTGTGGCAGAAAACTCATTCAAGCAGAGGGAAAACATGCAAACTCCATGCAAATAGTGTCCAGAAGTGCTAACCACTGAGACACTAGATTTAGCAGGTCCACTGCATGTTCGCTGATGTACATCACCACATTTGTGTCTAAAACAGCTTAAAAATTATTTATTTTAATGGCTTATTATTAATGGCTTATTCAGCTTCTTGGCATTCAATAAGCCTCATATTTTTAGAGGAGAATAAATGAGATTTTCTACTTCGCATCTTGTTTTGCTGGTGGTGCGGAAGAGTGCAACATGCCACAAGAGTTGCAATCTATTTTTAGAAACCTTTCTGTGTCTTTATCACCTGACAAAAAGTTCGGGATGACTCACTTTTTGGGTTTTTTTTGCAGTTTATTTCCATCTCTGCTTCTCTTGCTAAGTGTTCAAAGCTCCCAATCTCTCCCGTCTTCCCCTCCCGTCAATGTTCATCTGTTGTGTTTGACACACTGTCATTTTTAGATCAGAAAGGAGTGTCTTGTGTGTCGGAACTCGGCGGCTGTCTTCGACATGTCCTACTTTGGAAAGTTCTACCTTGTTGGACCAGATGCCAGGAGGGCGGCGAGTTGGCTCTTTACTGCAAATGTCGACAAGCCCACAGGTAATTTCAGAGGGTAACTAGAAGTGCAATGCTACAGTCACTGTACAAGAAGGTGACAAGGAGACAACCTCACCCTTGTCTCGTAAATGACAAGCTGGATTATGTGACAAAGATCTAAAAAACATTTCAGGGGATAATAAGAACACAAGATATTTATAGAACATCTCCAGGCAAACAGATAAAGAAAATACACATGTCAAATAGATATATGTGAACTGTCCTACCTGCCTCATTGATGTGGTGATGTTCCCTCATTGTCCAATCTGCAGGCTGGGGGCACATAAGTTATGTTGGAATGCTTATCACAGCCAGCTGTGCTCTACTGAAGCTATTTGACAGGGATCCTGGATCACATGGGTGACTGAATTACAAATCCGTGTCAGCCGAACCCCCGTCAGACACTACACTGTTTGCTCACTAATCCCCTGCCTGCAGAGTGAACAGTGAAGGAACATCACCACACTGATAAGGTCATTAATTTACATATCTGTTTCACTGTTGTCATCGTCATGTGATAAGCCCAGGTATACACGCTTCAAATTTCAGCTGGTTCTTGAGTAATAGGCCAACATTTGCTGAGTGGGTGCCAATAGGCTGATCGAAGGAGCAGGTTGGAAAATTCTTGACTCAACAGATCTAGCAGCCAACCTGCTGCTAGCTCTGTTTAGGTATTCTAAAACAGCGGAGCTGTAGGTTCCAATGTGAATGCCTATAAGTGTTTTGTTTTTTTTCCGATTTATTTGATTTTTCAGGTAATATACAAAAAACACAATACATTAACAAGGGACAGATTACCAATGCAATCGTCACATAGCAGAATTATTGAGTCAAAATCCCAAGTAAAAGACAGACACTAACAAGGGGAAAGACAATGACGTGTGAAGGGGAAGGGGTGGAGGGAGGGGGACGAGACAGGGTGGTGTAAAGGGGGGGTTTTGTGAACTTGCTCTAGGTCCGAGCTGATGCTATATTCACGAAGGCAAAAGATATAGGCGTTCGCTTTCGCCCAGTGTCACAGTGTGCGGTTCAAGCTGAGTGCTATCCTATGTGTGTGTCTACGCAGACAGAAAAGATACAGATATACAGATAACCCACAAAAGTGTTTCTACCCCAGAAGTAGGCGCACAGTAACCTTTACAAGGGCGGGTCTTTCACCCCCGCTGTCCATCCCAGATCATTTCTCGATGACAATCAAATGAGAACTGTAAGTATCAGAGTCCCGGAAGGCCAACCAGCATGCCCATTTCTTATAGAAAGTAGAGCATGAGTCCTTGGCGGTGTACATTAATTCCTCCATCAGTTTAATGTTGTCCACTTTTCGAAACCAGTCCTGCATGGAGGGGGTGTTGGCAGATCCACAGTATCTCGGTATGAGAGATTTGGCCGCATTCAACAGGGATGGGACAATGGATTTCCGGTATGATCGCAGGGAGTCAGTGGTGAGATGGAACATGACCACCCAAGGATCTCTCGGGAGCTGCTCAGCACTGATGTGGTTAATGAGCTGAAGCACCTGTGTCCAGAAAGGTACAATCAACGGGCATTCCCACCAGATATGAGCAAAGGAACCTGGATTCCCACACGACCGCCAGCAGTGAGGGTCAAGGAGGGGGTCAATCGCGTGCAATTTGGTAGGTACAAAGTACCACCTAGATAATAATTTATAATTAGTTTCTAACATGGGGACGTCTATCGATGAGGTTGCAACCAGGGCCATTACACGAGATCTTTCTTCAGGGGTAAGAGTGCGGTGCAAGTCCGTCTCCCATTTGCGTAGGTACGGCGGGGGTGAGTCGTGTTCCTCGGTGAGTATGGCTCTATAGAAGTAAGAGAGGCAATGAGTGGGCACAGATGTGGAGCTTAGAATTGATTCCATGAAAGTAAAGTATCGGGGCGTTCTTAGAGGTTTTGGGAGTGAGCTTATAAAATGGGATAGCTGGCAGTGTTTCCAGGAATCCAGTGGTACCTTGCCCCACTTGGATCTCAGAGTTATCAGCGGTATTAAGGAGGTACCTGTCAACACATCACCCAGTTTAAGTGTGGTAGAGTCCGACCATTGCGCGAAGGATCTGTCAACAAGCCCTGGGGGAAGAAATCAGAGCCCTGTAAGGGCATAAGGCTAGAGTTGTGTGGCCAACGGAACCTGCGGTGTAGGCGGTCCCAGGTACGCAACGTTGAAGAAGTAAGAGGCAATATGGTAGAGGCAAATGGCCTCCATTCGGGGGGTAACCAGATCACCTCCTGCAGAGGGGCCCCACAAGCCGCAGTCTCCAAAGACACCCAACTCTTTCCCACGCCCCCATAAACCCAGTCTACCACTCTCACCATTTGGGCCGCTACGTGGTAGACCCGGAAGTTTGGAAGGCCCAGCCCTCCATTCCGCTGGGTCCTCACCAGTATCTTGCCCGCAATCCTGGGGGTGCGGTTCTGCCATATGTACGTAGATGTTATTCTGGTGAGGGTCCTGAAGTACGAACCTGGCAATTCTATGGGGAGCATTTGGAACAGAAACAGGACTTTAGGGAGAATCATCATCTCTACAGCATTTATTCTCCCCACCCAGGGCAATGTACGTAAGGAGAAGAAGGTCAGATCTGCTTTTACCAAGTTCAGTAGGGGTATAAAGTTGCAAAGGTAAAGGACTGAGAGCTTACGTGTTAAGTGAATGCCCAAGTATCGAATGGAATGGGAGCGCCACTGGAAGGAAGGAGAAGTGCGTGGACCAAGGAGAACTGGGTGAAGGAGGCGCCAAGCGTCTACTAGCTGAGACCTGTGGAGGGCCATGTGCAAAGAGGCAAGATGGGTAGGCGGATTACGCGTGACCCCTGAGGAGGAGTCCAATAGGGGATCTAAGCATAGGTTCAGGTCCCTCGCCAGAAAGAGTCTACCTTTACGGAAATCCTCAATGTTACCTAGGACCCGTCTCAAAAAGGACACCTGATGTACATTCGGGGAATATAAGAGAGATGCTTCTCCTGAAGGAAGACCACGTCAGCGTGAATGCTTATAAGTTGATAGAGAACTCTGTTCTATTGCTAAAAAAAATAGAACCGTGTACATCCTGCTTTAGAGTAACAGCTCTGTGCAGTGAAACCCGATTTGACATATAGTGCTCGTCCTACCTCAAGCAGAGTTAAAAGTTCTGCTGTGTAGGGATTACAGGAAGCTAGAGTACTAATTACTTAAAATAAAAATGTATTTATTTTTCATTTTATGAATGCATAACTGGATTATTTTTGTATTGCTTTAATGGATGCTCAATCAGCTGTACATATTTGCCCTCCTTCTGCTCCCCCCGCTGTTCTGTTCTTCGGAGAGGAGCGAAGAGGGAAGCCCCGTGTATAGATAAGTCTTGGCAAAAGCACAGGTTCCGTTTCAAAAAATGATGGAGGTTAAACGAACATTTGTTTTATGTGCTTTTGATGTATAAAATATAAAGGAAAATGTTTTATTTTTTCAGCTGAAGGTGTTTTGTACACATTGAACAACACATTGTACTTAAAATGAAACTCATAGAAGGTGTTTAATTATAGAACATTGTTATTTTCCAAGGAAATATTCTCCGTAAAGTAGTGATTTCTGCAAGGTTTACTTTATTGTGGTAGATGGTTTGTCTCCTTTAGTTAAAATGACTGATATCGTAGAATAAGCAGCCAAACAAAATAGCCACGCAGATGTCAAATGTTTAATTTCCTGCACAGGATGGAACCCTTTACATAATAGTAAACATAGCATAATAATGATTACATAATATTAACCTTGACATAATCATGAATGTTTTTATGACCACTTTCACCTAAAGAATCCTTTTTTGTTAAAGGTTTTCTAAGTTTTTTTTTTAATCAAGTGATCTTGTTCACTGTGTAGGCTCTACTGTATACACCTGTATGTTAAACAAGAATGGCGGCACGGAAAGTGATCTCACGGTCAGTAGGATAACCCCAGAGAAGTCGCCCTCTTCCCTGGCACCTGACTTTGAAGGTGCGTATTAGGTAGATCATGCATTAAGAAAATGTACAAATATAATTTTGGTCAAACACGATTGAGGGACACAGCCTGCCTGCTGATTGACCAAAATTTTGCTCCTGGCGTTTATCTTCTCTAATTTCCTTTTATTTGCTGGCATCCTCATATTCTAAATGGCTATAATGTGTCCTGACCAATGTATTTCTCAGAGATGAAGGCTGCTTGGCATAGACTCATGTGAACAGAGGCTGATGTCATTCCCAAAAATTAATCCTGGTCAGGCAATCAGGCGTGGTTCTCTCATTCCACTCCGGTTGACTGGTCTCACACCGCCCAAGTCGGCGGCGTTCACCTGTTGGTATCCCACAGGGGAAGTGAAGGAGACAAAAACGAGGCTCTGTAAGTGCAGTAACTAAAAAGATTTGAATGCACTTACAGAAACAACGAACATCAAAGCTTTTGAGCGTTAGCAGCACTCAGCTGTGAGAGGCGAAGGCAGTTCTTCCTTTGACGCGTTTCGTTCATTAACTTTCTCAAAAAGGAATGACCGAGGAGGCCTTAGTGTTTCATGGTCCATCACGTCTTTATTTTATGATTGAATATCATTAATATCCGTACCTTTCACTATATAAATCATGCACATGCCAAGTCATTGATATTCGTTGATTGGTACATGAAATATTTGTTGTTAGATTGATACAAACATATACGTGTTGTGGCTGGTCCAATTTAGACTGTTAGGTACACACTCCTAGCGCAGTGATTTTTGTTTTTTATATGGATCCTGTGGTCATTGGTTCATAGAAAAAGAGTTGTAAAGCAAGGTCCAAAATTGCCAGAGTTCGTCAGCCCTCTAAAAGGCAGAGGACCCTCCCACAGGTAATCAATTCAGAAAACAAAAGTCTAAAGGTGCCCATACACTTTACAACTCTCGCAAGACTTTTGTCTTGCGAGGGTTGTAAAGTACTTAAAAAAACGGACGATCTGCCCATCTTGGACAGGCATATCGTACTTGCGATCATCACAAGCCCGCCCCCCTGAGGGGCGGGCTTGCGATGACTACAATCCTGAACGGGCAGTGTGCGCGTGCGCACATCGGCATGTTCGCCAGTTATATCTCGATCATGTTAAAAACCAGCCGAAAATCGTACGATTCTCGGCGGGTTTTTCAACATGCTCGAAATACAAAAGTACATTAGAAACGGTCGCACGCCTTCCATACACTGCACGATTCTCGTACGATCGCGGGATTTCCCGCGATTCTCGTACGAGAATCGTGCAGTGTATGGGCACCTTAAGGAGTGCACAAATGTATTTTATTGACCCATGTACAGTATATTACAAAGACAACAGAAAGCTCTGATAAAGGGGTATTGTTTGACCCCCTGAAGCGCGTTAGCTGCTTCCTGTTGTGTTTGTGATATATGTGGACCAATAAAATACATTTTTGGACTACTGAGACATTGTTTGGGTGCTCTTTTTTATTTGATTATCTACCATTGCCTGTCCATAGAGTGCTTTTACTGGTCACAGGGCTCTCTTATTGGACTCTAAAATGGCAGGGTCTTAGCTAAGAATCCAGAGGGAGTCAAGCCCCAGTAAAATAAAAAAATGCATCTAAATCAGAGAGGGACAAAAAATAAGCTTTTTGAGTAATAAAAGTAACGAAAGCTACCGTGGTGTTGTGTCTGCTGTCAGGCAGCATTTTACTTTGCAAATTTAAAATGGAGCACAACGTCTAGCAAACGTACCTGGGAGTTACCTCAATACTACCTATGGTACATTTTACATAAAAAGGCCAGAAATTGCAAAATGCAGCTAAAGACTTTTTCACGTGCATGTATAAAGATACTGAAAACATTATTCATTTAAAACTGTATTGGCAGCCGGATTATAATTGCTGCCTTGATTGGCCCTATAAATTCACAAGTCAGACGCTGTGCAGATTGTTGGATCTTGTTTTGCAGTGACCCCGTTCAACCGACAATACTGCTATTGTGTTGTTGCCCTGCTCCAGCCGAGGTGAGGGGTGCTGCATATCTGAGCGATTTTCCCTATTGTCTTGTTCTAGATACCGCCCAAGGCAGTATCGCAGGCATAGCATAAACATTCTTCCTTACAAGTAAACTCATTCGAGTGGCAGTGGAAACTAAAGGGACCTTTGCAAAAAAAAATTAAAAAAAGCTTTTCCGTGCTGACAACGGCGTTGGAGTAAAAGGAGAGTTTAGTGATTCTTACTGGGTGCACATAGCTGCACCACACATGGCTAATTCTATGGAGGTCAATGATTGGTTGTTCCATTATCCTGACAAATGCATGTGTGTTATTTTAAGCACTTTCCACATTGTTTGGCTCATTCTGTTGCTTAGCATAGTTAAATGGACAGCAGAAACCCGTCAGAGGCCCTTACCTTTCCCACTCTAAAGTTGCAGCTGGTTTTACTCTTAAAGGAGAACTATGGGGTCAGTGTTTTTCCCCATAGTTCTCCTTAGGGTAACGGGAGGACACAAACTAGCGTCCTCCCGTTACCCTAAGCTCAGTATACCGCGAGCTACAGCTCGCGGTATACTGAGACGCCGCAGCCGGAGCGGATCCCGACGTAGATGACGGGATCCGCCCAGCTGCGTGAGTGACAGCTGGCTCTGCCTATCTAGAGGCAGAGCCAGCTGTACCCGCCCCCTCCCCCGTCCGTTCCGCCAGTCAGCGCTGGCAGATCGGAGCGGGGAGAGGGGAATCCAGCCCCTTCCCCTGTCACGGCAGAGAGCCGTGACAGGATCGAGAGGTGAGCGAACCTGGTATGTGATCTACTGAGCCGACCTGTGACAGTCTCATTGTCACAGGTCGGCTAGAACTATGAGGTGAGTGGAAATCACTCATCTCATAGTTCTCCTTTTAAGTTTGAACTCCAGACGCACAAGCTTTTATTTAAATTAATTTTAAGCCAGCCTTCCGGCTGCGGTGAAACTACAAATCTCATAAAGCATCTGTCTCTGGGAGTCATGTCTGTGACTGTCAGAGTCTTGCAATGCCTCATGGGATTTAGACCCCATTCACACTGAGCTACATCCGCAAAACGGCTTTTTCTGCGCTGATTTGAGCTGAGTGACTTTGAGAGACATTGAGCTACAGTGCACATATTGTTGCGCTACGTAGCGCTACTTTTGGCATGGACTTTGTAGCTGCTACATTTGGACTGTATCCAATCAAAAGTGGTCTTGATGTGACATGATTCCTCTTCCTGTTTCCTGCTTATGCTCCTGCTTATATTTCTGTGCAAAAGTGACACTTCTGTAGCGCGACGTATCGCAAATTCGTGCAACATTGAGCTACACCATTTATGTCTTTTGGGCCAAATCGCATAAAAACCTCCAAAAAATAGGTCATGTTCAAGCGACAGGCTTGAGCTACAAGCTACAGGCGACTTTGAGCTGTGAGATGGGAACGGCTCCATTGAAATGCATTGGACATGAGCTGATGTTTGAGCAATTTTTGAGCTGAAATCGCGCTACAAATCGCTCAGTGTGAATGGGGTTGTATAGTTGCACCACAGCTGGAGTTTGCCTACTCCTGCACCACAGGCTGCCTGCAGAAAACTACAAGAGCATATAAGACCATTCACCCACACAATGAAAGAGAGCAGTAGTAGTGACTGGTCTTTAAGGCCTTGTTCACACCAAATGCAGAGCAGATCTGCAGGAGTTTCTGCACACACAGTGCAGTGGGTTGTGCCGCGTTTTTGATGTGTTCGGGGCCGTTTTTGGTTAAAAAAAATGACATTTTTAAAAAAATAGTTTAAAATAGTCTTTCAGTGCATTCCAGGGTGTTTGCATGCGTTCCAGAGCAGGTAAAATAGGGCCTGCTGCAGTTTTTTTACCTGCACTGGACCTACTCTGGAATGGAACGCTGCGATGTGAACTGGAGCTAAAAATACCATTGGAATACATTGGACGCAGTTTTGCTCCGGTTTGTAACTGCTCAGCTCTGCTCCTGGAACGCGCTTGGTGTGAACAAGGCCTAACACAGGAAGCTCCTGCAGTTTCACACTGGATTAATGCACAGATATGGGAGAAATATACAAAGCACACCAGTAAGTAAGAATACATAAGCCTCTGGTAACCATATTTGCTAATCATGAAGTGCAGCTTTTAACCCTGCATGATCTGATTATCACAAGCTCTAGTTGAATTTGTCCTGTCACATACTTTAATTGGCTATATATTGCATCTTCAAACATGCTGCCAGCCAGAAAACAATTGATTAGATTGAGAGAAAACAATCAAGAGCAGTAAAATATTTTCCACTGCCATGGAGGATAATCTAAATTGCTATTTCCTACTTCAGTCCCTCACACAGTGACCCTAAATTCTTTGATTTGTTGTTCATATTCTTCAGATTTCACAAAAATCGTCTTTGCCCCTCTTACAGTTGACCTGCCACGTTGTTCCATTTTAATTAATGTTATATGAAAGCATTGTGGGGCACCGATTTTATAGAACACTGAATGATATACATTCCCCATTAGTGTCCCTATCTCTGGCAATTCCCTGCACGCAGCCATGATCCCTGACCCCAGGCTCTTTGTTCCTTGTTTGGCTTTGAAGCTTTCACTCTAATCTCCAATGGGAGCACAGAGTGGTGCTGTGCGCCAAGTTCAAGGCCTGCGCTGCATGACAAATTTGATATTTTTACTGTAAAGCCTATCTGATGCTTCCACATGCCCCAGATTCTTTCCTGAATGTTTTTGTGCTAGTCTAGACTTCTTTTATTTGGATTTGTGTGCCTAGCTATTTTTATCACCTAGTTGTATTTCGGTACTAGGTGGAACCTGGTGGGCTGAGTTGGCCCCTGGCTCTTTGTATATCTTTGATATCTCTCGGCTATTATTCTCAACTCTGTTCCCATCCACCTGGGAGTTTAGGTGACAACTAAGAGGGGGTTCTCTATACTTAAAGTGTATTTCCACTTTTGCAGAGAAATTGGGATAACAGGACAAATAGAGAGGGATACAGAACGCAATTAAAACCTGACAGATGTTCGAATTCCTCTCCACTCTATCAAAAAAAAAAATGGTTTTGCTTTAATATTTATCGTAATTAACCCTAATTTTCTGTATTTTGCTGGCAGATCTCTAGTTGTAAACTGGATTTGAACAATGTCTATTCTAACAAAGGGTTAAAGATCTAGTAGCATTGAATGTTAATTAGAGGAAACTCAGTGAGGGGAATTTATCAAAATCTGGGGCAGATGCCCAGGGCAACCAATCAGCTTCTCTCTTTAGTTTGTTCAGTTAAGATTTGAAAATGAAAGAGAGAAGCTGAATGGTTGCCATGCACATCTGCTCCAGATTCTGTTTGCTTCAGTTTTTTGATAAATTCCCTTCAGTGTGTCCCTAGTCTTTCTATGGGGACAGACTCCTTTTCAAGCTGTTCACAGTAGATTGCAGTCTCCCCATGGAAAAAATAAATAAATATTATTTTTCGTTATGCTGTGTGAATAGGAACACATAACAAATATATAGAGGGGCTTTCTCAAATTTGACTGCAAAAGTGGAAATGCACTTTCAGAGAGATGTTCCTTTTGTGTCTCTGGGAAAGGAAGTGAAGCTAAATCTCCCTAGCAACAACACAGATGGCAAAAAAAGACCTGGTGAGGGTTCTAACCATTCATCATTCTTTCTAAAATGAAAAGGGGACTTAACATATACTTCACAGTACAATTGAATGGCCTTTCTCATTTTAATGCAGCTGCAGAATTTCCTTAATATTAGACGTTCGCTGGTTGCTTTTACTGCACTTCACTGGCCAGTTGTCTTAGTTTAGTTTTAGTCTTACTTTAATCCCGTGCTGGAATCTACACCAGTCTTTCACTAAATTTGTATGCAGGACAGCAGCCACTTGTCACATGATTTTGTACTAAGCAAGCATCTTCTCATGCTCCAATGTGTGTGGGCGGGGCTTTAGTGTATATAGTGATGGAGGGCAGGACTGGAACCAGGGAATACACTGGCTGCAAATTTACAGACTCAAATACAGAGCCCTTTGAAAGGGGCAGATTTCAGGAAATTTAACAGTACAGGTATTTGTCTGAACTTTTACTGACTGGAGCATTTTGCAGGGGATGGATTCTATCTGGCCATTGGAGGAGCAGTCGCTCAGCACAACTGGAGCCATATCACCACTGTCCTTCAAGATGAGAAATTCAATTGTAAACTTATTGACTGTTCAGAGGACCTGGGGATGATCAGCATACAAGGGCCTGCCAGGTAGGGAAACTATGGTCACACAAATTACAATCTGATCGCACAATCTTCTTTAGATCAAATATGTAGAAGTGAGGGTCTGCTTAATTGGATATAAATAAAAGATTGTTCACACAGGCCTCACACAACATAGTTGGCAGATTGTGCAGAAATGTATTAATACATTGCACATAGCTCCCAACTCTCCCTAAGCCCTCGTTCACACCTGAACGTTTTGTAGCGCGTTCTACGCTCGACGAACGCTCTACAAAACGCTCAAAAATATAAATCCCATTGTATTCAATGGTCTCGTTCCCACCTTGGCGTATTTAGGCCCGTCCCTAACGCGCCTCAGAACGGCCCACGCCTGAAAAGGTACATGTACTACTTTGGGCCGCTTTGTTGCGCGTTTCCATTGGGATACAGCCAAGTAGCCTTCGGAAATGCGCGTTTGTCGCGCAACTTTTTTACCGCGAATCGCGGTAAAAAACCACGCGCCGGTCGCGCATATGCAATACGCCTAGGTGTGAACGAGACCTAATTTGTGTCCCTCGCTAGTAACCAGATCCCTCTTTTTGGTCTGATGTATAGATCTATCTAAAAAAAAAAGTCTTAGGCTCTGTTTACTCTTGCGGTGTGTGTAGATGTGCAATAGTTGTGCATTTTGCCGCACGTCAGCATAAGGTGGCTCATTCATTTCAATTAACTGCCCTATGTGTGCCAAACACAGCAAAGAAGCTTATGCAGCAGTTTGAGCTGCTAGTTCCACATAATTGGTGACTGCGTGTTCATATGCATTTTTCTCAAGGTAATACACATCAAGACTCCTGTTTTGCCTGCCATGTTTGGGGTGCCATTAAGAAGTAATGGTACCGCAAGTGCGACATGCACTTTTTGCAGGTTGCACGCAACAAGTGTGAATGGGGCCTTATTTTCTTACCAAAGCTTTTTTACTGGCACTATGCCAGTATATCCCAGTATATAGGAAAAGTATTGCTGAAAAAAACATTTTAAAGTTTATGCAAACATGTTTTGCATATTTATATTTCACAGTCTGTATAACTAGGGGTGTATCTCTTGTGTACCCACTTTGTTCTGAAAGGTATCCCTCTTTCTTATCTCCGAAAATTGGGAGGTATGCATTGCATTGCTCGTGGCAGCCTAAACAAACCGTTCAATTTGTATTACATTTTGTAGACCTCTATTACTACTTAGTTGTTGGTAGATCTCAATGAGATCTTGCAAACAGATTGTAATGTGTATGTATGGTCATCTTAAACCAACCAATACAAAAATGCTTTCCCCCATGTCCTTGTACATTGTGTCCTTGTACATTGTGTCTGAATATATACTTTATTTGACAATAGCCCTCCATCTTACCATGTTGCCAGGGCTTAATAGTTTAAAGACTTCCCTGCATGCCTTCCTCCTCTTCTGAGGCTGCTGTGAGCAGCACTATGAATGCAGTTCTATCTGCAGTCCTCACCATACAGGCAATTAGAAGGCAGAGCCAAAATGACACGACAACTGTACAAGTGCTAATTCAATGGGCAGCAGTTATGTATAGGGCCAATTCACACCTGTCCATTGCGGTGTGCACATTACCGTACACACATTAGCACATTGCAGTGCCAATTAATTTCAATGATAACCCAACACACTAAGGTAAGACATCTACTGCAGCGCGCCACAACACTCCATATTGCACTACCGTGTGTTGTGTCAGGTAAAAATAGTGTGTTTAATTGAATGATATTCCTTAACCCTTAACCCAATGCACATTAACACGAAACGCAATGCATCTGAGTGGACAAGTCGGAATGGGTCCTAAGCCACAGTGCAAATCATAGATCGCTCACCCAGTGATAGGAAATGTTCTCAATGTAGGCTACCCGTATAACTGACAGGACCTTTATATAATAATATTACTGAAAGTGCCTTTCCACCTTGACGATTTACAGCATTCTATGGTAAATTGTCAGAATTCACCCGCCTTCCTTAAGGTCTTTCTGTACAACCTGCCATGTCTGTTTAAAATCAACAAGCTCCCTTTCTCTTGTCTGCCCCCCAGTCTGTATTCCTTTCAACTTGTATCAATCTTTAATGCGGGTGGCATACATACTGCAGGCGAGTGTGTGTGTGTGTGTGTGTGTGTGTGTGTGTATGCGAGCCGAGCACCATGTGACAGGCCAAGAGCAGAGGACTATCGCATTAACATCTAATAACAGAAATCACTGCAATCCTTACTGCCACATGCAGAATTCTTATACAGCCTGCATGTCTAGGCAACTCCAGAGGAGTGTAAGAGTTACGAAAATGCCAAAAAGTTCAACTTTAAAGTAGCTAAATCAAACTTTTATAAGGTATTTCACATAAGGGTGAAGAGTTTGGAGAAGGGAGGAGAAATGAACAATCTAGGACAACATAGATGATTTGGAAAAATTCTCCAATTCAGCTCACTTTCTAGTTCATCTATGTTGTCCTAGATTAATCGCTTCCCCTGCCTTCTTCAAACTCTTCACTCTTCAGTGAATGTCAGATGAATTATTTTGCTAGTACTTACTCTGATATGTGGGTTTTCAGAGCAAAGTGGAACAACTAACAGTGCTTCCAAAGAAGTCTTTACTTCACTTTTAGAGATCAACCTGTAATACTCTGTGCTGCTTAAGGACTCTGCTTCTTCCTCTAACTCTCCTCTCCTGAAATACTCTGTGTTGCTGGAGGACTCTCATCCTTCCACTAACTAACTGTCCTGAAATACTCTGTGCTGCTGGTGGACTCTTCTTCCACTAATTAGCTCTCCTCTCCTGAAACACTCTTCACCTTCCACTTTTTTTTTTATCATTGAGGTACATGATAGTTCTCTCACTATCCTTGGCTGATATTTTCAATGTCCTTGGCCTTCCCAGTCGCTCCATTCTGCAGGAAGTCCTGGATGAAGATTTGAGTAACGAAGCCTTTTCATTCTCCACTCACAAGATTGTAACTGCAGGAGGATTCAAGGTAGATGGGTTCACTGACATGTTTTCCAATTGGTGAATCTGTGTGTGAAATGCTATGTACAAAAATATTTACCTTGTATAACTCGGCAAACGCCTGATGTATGTAGTCTTATATTCAGCAAGCAGATGGAGCTTTAGGCTCCTTTCCAGATGCCGTACTCTGTCCTATCACCTCCGTGTTATTTACACAGACTAGTGAAGGGGTCAGAGCAGTTATGCTGCCCTCTCTCTTCTCCTCCCTCTGTACAATACTGATAACTACCCCTGTGTTCTCCTTTAGTACTTACAGCAGAGTGCTGTATCCTCTTTAATTTATTGCATATTTGTTCGTCAAAGGTGTTATATAAGTCATGAAAGCGCATAAAAAATATAAAGGTTTTGGCTGTACATGCATTTTAAGTACATATTTAAACTGAAGTGTTTGGTGAGTGGAATGGTGAAATGGTGTTATTTCTAGTCTTGAGAAAGATTAAAACTTCTCTTAGGTTACTGTTGCTGTCTGTGCCCCCAATGAGCAGTCTTTCTTCATATCCCATCTGCTCGCTGGGGCATAATGTGAAGGAAAAACTTCCCACCAGGAGACAGAAAGTAGTAAAAACCTAAATTGGTTTCTAAACCTTTCCTACTTTATCCAAAATATAAAAATACATTTTGCTTAGAATTCAACATTAATGCTGTGTTCACATCCACGTGATGCAGGAGCATATGTGATGTCGCATGCAATCACGCATCGCATGTTGCAGGGTTTGGTGCAGTGTGGTGTCATTATTTCTTAATGTCACCGCAATGCACCTAGCCATGACATGTATGTTGTATTGCACCACATTCGATGGTAACCTATTACCATACGCTGTGGTGCAATGTGATTTATAAAAAAGTGCATGCACTTCTTTCAGTGTAATTTAGCTGTGGTGGGCAGCCTATTCATTTGAATGGGCTGGCTACCACAGGGCACCTGCAGCACCTCTACTATGTTGTATCACAGAGGTATAAATGAGGGCTAAAAACATTCATAATTTTACTTTTGTCATGAAAACATGGAAATACTCAACTCTACACAAAAACCTCCATTTGTTGAAAAGCCAAATTGTTTTCTAAGTTTTAACTACTATCAGTGCCACTATTGGGGAGATTCACGTCTTTATTCAGAGCTGCCATTAGAAATCACTGAGCCCTGTACAGCCTACCTGACAGGGCTTCCTGAGAAGCCACCATCAGCACACTTATGAGTTCTGTCTACTAACGGACGGCACCTTGCAAAGTAATGGTGTGAAAAATCAGATATAGAGATACATAAATGAAGAATGCATATTTCAGCGGAGCTTGTAGTTCTGTCTGTTTGTTCCTGCTTAGTTGTCTCTGTTCTGTATCTGTGCCAGGGTAATATTGAGAGTTGTGTGGTCCACCTGTTAGTGAGGAAGAAAATTATATATATACAAATAGACTCGGCACTGATCTCAAGCCAAAGTCGTGTGATCATAACAAACGGTGGTACGTATATTTATCTAAATAATATACACTCTGCAGTGTCACACGACAGCCCCTGGGTTGGGTAGGCTGGCTGTACAACACCCCCCCCCCTTCACATTGGCGGTCGTGCCTCTACAGAAAATGATAGAAATCTAAAATTTTACAGAAAGTGTAAAAGAACAGAAAGTGAAGTGAAATCTCCATAGAGAGGACTCAGAAATAAAAATATAGCTTGTGTTCTAACCCTTCTACATTCTTTCCAATGCTCAAGTTTTAGCTTTATATGTACTTTACGTTTTTCTGGTTCATACCTGCTCGGCTACAACTTACTTAGGAGCACTGTTTGAACCCTGCAAAAAAAGTTCATTTGTCTGACAGTTAGAAACATGGACATGCTGAATTAATTCTGAAATTGAACTTCCACATTGTGCAGAGGACTATGCCAGAGGGTGCATGTGATGTTATGTAATGCAGTCATTATATAATCACCATGACTATCTTGGCCCTTCTGAGCAATGATCTTTCGGACCGTGCAAGCTTCTACAACCCAGAGAGTTTTCTAATTCTTCAGCTGGGTTAACCTAGTGTTGGTTGCACTTTCGGTTCACTTTTTCCCCGCATTTGTATTCTGGGTGCACAGGTGCCATGATTGCGCACTGACCCCCGGCCCTCTTGCAGCTGTGTTTTCTTAAAAGCCTCTACTTTTTCCAGTAACCCAGATAGTCTCTGAATCCTCCCCGGCTATCTTCTCCTTGCCTGACTGATCTAATGCCATAATGGAGCAAAGAGCTTCTGGGCAGTCTAGCGAGCGGGGCCCCCCTGTGCAGTGGAGTTTCAGCCGCTACGCCTCTGACACAATCTGAAGGATTGAAAGACAACTTAGGGGCATCATCTTCAATCTACAGCGGCCCGGCACTTTCTCTCACACACCGTGAAAGATTGTGGCATTTTGTACTCCATTTAACATCGCTCAAAGATGATAGCAAATCTATTTCTTAACTCCTTGCTTCCAGCTTTTCTGAAACTTCTGAGTCCCAGAGATATATTTTATGTATGCACATGTATTTTACTAACAATGTTTTTAGATATGTTTACTGTAATGTTTTTTTATAACTCCTTTGTGGAAACAGTGTTTTAGTGAGGCTTTAGAAACATGGAGCGTGACATTGTAACACTTTACTAGAGTCACAGAGCCGTATTTAGCTAGGAGTCATCTGCCATTGAATCAATTGGACATTGCATGAAGCATATGCCCAAATAACTTTTTTTAAAGTGATATTAAAGTCAAAATGTTAATCTATTTGAAATGCTGATTAAACCACTTACAAAGGACATTGCTCTTTTGATGTTTAAAAGTTTTAGCTTCCTCAAGAATCAGCTGGTCCTCTGAGCACTGGCCCTGATATCCTGTTGTAGGGTGGCTCCTTTCCCTTACAGGGTCCCATGGAGCCACATTTGTGTGTGCTAGTAAGCTGTGTGTGTCTCCACAAACACACAGGTACTGTAAGGCAAGACACTCCCCTCCTCCCAGCTAACCCCTCCTCACTTCTCCCTTCTCTATGCTAGCATGGACAGAACCTGTACCGGACAGGTAGATCAGGGAAGCTGAGCTGAGAGGGTTGAAGCTAACTGTTTGGAAACGTGAAGTATGTAAGTGCTTGGGAAAAAAAAAGTAAAGAAATACTTTGCTGGGCAATGTATATTTGTTTAATCTGGATTCATTGTTGAAAAAAAGTGTGAGAGTTTAATACTACTTCAAGAGTATACAAACCCCAAAACATAAATCAGTCCATAGATGTAGTGGCTGCATTAGTGTCTTTTGTTCATGCTTTTTTATTCCTTTAAGAGGCTGCAGGAAGTCAGCAGCAGTGAGATGCAACAAAGGTGAGAAGTACTAAAAATGGCACTTGTTTGATATAGTGAGGGGAATTTATCAAACCTGGAGCAGACAGAATCTGGAGCAGTTTCCCATGGAAACCAATCCGCTTCTCTTTTCAGTCTGTTCAGTTAAGATTTGAAAATAAAAGCTATAAGCTGATTGGTTGGAATGCACAGCTCCTCCAGATTTTGTCTGCTCCAGTTTTGATAAATTCCCCTTACAGTGCTTTAGCAAACTGAATGTCTGTCATTCATTTAGGGATTACATTTTTTTTTAAAGTGTATGTATAGCAAAAAAACTAGTTTTTTTTAGTTCTGCATAGTGTTGGAAAGGGTTTAAACCCCTGCCAGTTTATATTTTGTTTGAGCACTATTGAAGACATTTCGGTTCACTTCCTGTCCCAGAGAATCAACAGGTAGTTCGAGGAAATCTCACAAAGTGTAGGGAATTTCTTAGACCGTTGTCCGCATAATAGGCGTCCCTATTTGAATATTTTCACTTATATTTTGTTCTGGGGACTTAAAACATTAAATTTCCCCTCACTTTCTGTTTTCATGACAATGATCACCAGTACGAACAGAGTGGTGAATCTTCTAAATGAGGAATCAGACAGCCATAACACTTGACAGAGGGTCTAACCCTTTCCCATACCGTCCAAAACAAAAAAAGAATTGCCGAAAGCTATACACAACCTTTTCCTGAAATACCTTGGAGGATTCCATTGCTGACTTCTTGATCTGCAAACAGAGCTTCCTCCTGCCTGTCTCCTCCTCCGCTGCACTGTATACACTGTAAAGAACATGATGATTCAGAGACCTCGTACTACTGCGTGGGTAGGGGAAGAGAGGCTGGAAGGACCGGTCTAAAAGCAAGCCGGCTCAGAGGATCGTGTAAGTATAACTTTTTTTATTTTCCTCCCTAGACCAAATCAAGCAGTTAACCCTTGCAGTGCAAACTTAAAAGAGAACTATGGGGTCAGTGTTTTTCCCCATAGTTCTCTTAAGGGTCACGGGAGGACATAAACTAGCGTCCTCCCGAGACCCAAAGCTCAATATATCGCGAGCTACGGCTCTCGGTATACTGAGACCGCCGCAGCCGGGACGGATCCCGACATTACGGTCAAGATCCACCCAGCTGCGTGAGTGACCGGTGGCTCTGCCTATATAGAGGCAGACTGTATCTAGAGGCAGAGCCAGCTGTACCCGCCCGCTTCCCTGTCCGTTCCTCCAGTCAGCACTGGAGGATCGGAGTGGGGGGGGGGGATCCCTGCAGGGAGCGACAGTCACGGCTGTCTGCAGGGACATGATCGAGAAGTGAGCAGGCGACGGTATGTGTTCGCTCACTTCCCGATCTATTGAGCCGACGTGTGACAGTTTCATTGTCACACGTCGGCTCGAACTATGAGGTTGAGTGATTTTCACTCACCTCATAGTTCTCCTTTTAAGAGAGTTATCCCATAGTACAGCGCTTTTGGAAGGTGGGAATGTGTGGATACAGATGTTGCTGCTTAGTGTGCTGCTCCTTCTATGTGCGGACCGGGGTGTCCGACGTTTGTCAAAGAGAAAAAAATGATGAAGAGGGAAGCGCTACTACCAAGAGGTGGCCTGTCAGGAATAGTATGTCCACGTGGGGTGTGGACAAAATGGGATATG